CTGAAACCAAACACAAAGAACTTTAGTCCATCAAACGTTTGTACCATGTGAAGACATAATGGGCAGCTGGATCTTCGCTCTCGGAACAAAGGCTGGCTGCCAGGCTCAGGAGCCCCTTCCCAAACCTGGAGCTGGAGCTGCAAATGCCAGGGCTAGGCCAAAACAAAAGCCGGTAAGGCTGAGCTGAACTGGATCTGATAGTGGTCAGGGCAGCTCAGAGGGGGGCAGTGGGCACCTGCAGAATGAAAAGGGGGGTGAAGACGGGCCTCACCCGCAGGGAAACACGAGAGGGGCAGGAACCCCTGTGCCCGCTGTGGAGAGGGGAGCTGCAGGAGCTCTGTGCTGAGAAACACAGCCCACGAGGGCAGGGAGGGGGGATCCCGGGTCCCAGGCACCGGGACCCCGCACGGGGCTCTGCCAGAGCGGGGCAGAGCACGAAACACAGCGGCCCAGCCGGGCGTTAACATGTGGAACAGCTGCACAGCCAGAGGAGTTAAGCTGGCAGACAGATTTTGCATGTTAACACCCTCTACCTCTATTGTCTTTAATATTAGTGTTTGCACTAACGTTTTAAACACGGGTCTCTAGCTGAGCTGGCTGTGAGAAAGCTACATTGCATACTTTTTGTTTAGGACTCTCAAACTAGGTACGATCACTTTTTAACCTCTCTCTGTTTTAGCTTTCCTGTCATCCCCAGTTCTCACAGGGTCTCCCTTCCAAAGAGAACTGAAATCTGTGGTGTCCAAATCAGGCACCAAACACATGCTCTTCATCCTGAATCCACATCTACGGATTTGACAAGCCTCATTTCACTCCCTTATGACATCTAAAACAATGAAAGAGACAAAGCTTTTGCCCTTCAGAGAGACAATTCATGTGATATGCCAACTCAGACACATGATGTTTACGAGATGCCGAGGAAGATAATACAATTGCTGTAAAGAATCAACTGAAGCATAAGCATGAAATACCCTTTTGAAAGCAGAAGTTCTATTTCTAAACACAGGTTCAAGGAACACTATTTAGATTAAAAAATACAGAACCTAACCAGCCACGAAAAACATCCTTATCAGAGACAAGTCACCCAGCAGTGTGCGGACGGGGACAGAACGGTCCGCCAGCTCCCTCCACGCCCAGAGGGCAAAATCTTCTATGCCGGATGAGAACCGAGGCGCCCGGGGACGGTCAGGACCACGGCAGGGCAATTTGGGACGGTGAGGGGACGCTGTGACAGAGTCACCATCCCCTTCCCCAAGCAGCCGTGGCTGCGCATGGGGACGAACAGTGGGATGGCCACAGCCCGGGGCAGAGGCTTCCCTGCCGTGAGCACAACGGCGATACTCGGGATACGATCACTGCATTTCCAGGAGGAAAGCGTGTTCCTCCCCCAGACCCCTTTCCTTAGGGAGCTGAGGGAGAAAGACCAGGTTTTGGACAATGTCCCCTCTTTTTCCCCTCACGTCCCCAGTAATCAGCATTACGCCCTCCCTGACTGGAGTTTGTACCTCTGGGACAGCAGTTGATGAGTTATCTAGGTTCCAGTGCATTTTGCTTTTATTTCTGTGTATTTGTATTCATGTACATCTGCATTTTATTGCTGTTCCCAGGTGAAAGCCCATCTGGCAGCTCACAAGCTGACTCATGCAACAGGAAACATATTTATGGAGCAATCTTTTAATGACTGTCCCTATAATCCTGGCAGCACAGCGACACTGGCCACCAGCACTGCTCCCAGCGACGCATTCTCCTTTTCCATCTGGCCAAGCCCTGTGCCGGTCTCCCGGTGCCGACGGGCTGAGCTGCTCGGCCAGGCACCTGCGGGCACCCCCCTCTGCTGCTGCCCAGGTCTCCCTCGGTGGCCTCCCGCCAAGCCCAAAGCAGGGATGGGGACACGCATTGCTCCAGCTATCATGTCCCCACCACGCTTCATCCCATCCTGAGCTCCAGTACAACCCTCCCCTGCCCCAGAGCAGCAGCGTTCCCTCCCTGCCGCCAAACCACCTGGCAGCGTCCCAGAGACATCCCAAACCCAAACCTCTGCCAGCAGCCAACCTCCCCGTGCCTGACTGCAGAGCAGGGAGGTGAAAGGACAGCCCGATGCCTGGCCAGGGCGCTGCAGGGGACTGGGGGCGCGCCGCTGCTGCAGACCTGACGCACCTTTGCGTAACCAAGACGTCCGGGTGTTTGCAACCCTGGCACGGGAGCTGGCGGCTACACCCAGAGCCGTGGTCTCTGCACTGGTGGACTTTGCAGCCCCAGACAACAGCTAGGAAAAGCTCTTACCATCTTCGTTCTCGTCCAAGGGTGGGGACTTGCTGGAGGTGTTTGCTCCCATGGCGCGTTCAGCCCCGGCTCCACTCTCACCACGTCTCACAGTGACACCTCCAGGACGGTGTCACCTGTGGGTCACTCCCGGCAGACCTGGGCAACGTTCTGCTGGAGCACCTGGAGAAGGCAGGAGGCAAAAATTCATCATCATTCAGGATTAAGAAGTGTTTTCCAATTTGCCAATTTCTCACTGGAAGTTCACTGCTCTGAAGACAAAAACGAGTATCAGGGAAAAAGCACATTATGCTAGAGAAACGCAGTAACATCATAACCAGGTAACCTAGGCCAGCACTGCTGCCCACCAAGGGAAGTGCAGAAACAGACTAACAAACCAAATCATAGAATTGTAGAATCATAGCTTGTATCATTATGTTGGCTCATATTTGCGGTATCATCCGACATACTATATTTTGTAGCTTCAATTGTGTTATGAACAATTTAGAGACGATAAAGCATGATTAACTGTAGTGAGGTCAATACACAAATAGACATAGTGACTTGGCTAGATAGAATCAGAAAGGTGCTTTTGACTATTAAGGTCATGGGGAAATGTAAAAGCTATATAAGAAGAAATTTGAAGTGTCAAGCTTATGATTTAAGCTGTTACAGAAATCTTTCATTTGGGACAAAATCATACCTTTTTTAAAAAATGAAAAGATTTCACGGAAAATCAAGGTGTAGCTACCATTCAGTTTCTTAAAAATTTTTTTTTGTTATGAACTACGAACAAAAAAAAATCTTTTGATTGATGGTGCGGTGCTGGCTGCAGTGGCTGGTTTCCCCTCACACTGTGGAAGGACAGGTCTGTGCATTGGCAGACAACACAGGTTTTAATTTTCCAATTCTCCCCCAAACACATACGTGTATACTGGAGCACACGAGGCGCTGTCTCTCCAGGGCATTTTACAAACTCAGCTGCTGTGGTTCACGTAGATCTCACTGTTCCCAGCAAAGAGCAGGGAGTCTGCACTTCTCAAAAGGCCAAAAAAACCCCCAGTCCAAACTATTAAAAACCCTAAAATCTTGATTTCTCATCTGAGAGAAATGAAACAAGATCCAGCAATAAAACAAATGAAGCAGCAAATGTTTATGATCCCTATCAGTGTCTCTGAAGGGAACAGACCAAGCCTTCAATCTGAAACCAAGCCACACCAGCACCTCTTTTCAAGCCCCAAAACTTACTGTTCAGAGGAAAGATACACCTTCAGATGCAACAGCCATAAATCAGGTTGACATATGGATGCTTCTGCACCACAGTGTTCTTACTGGTGGCATCCAAGGTCAGCTGCTCCAGGAAATTTTCTTGAATAGGAGTCTGTAGCTTAATTTATTTTTGACAATACGTCAATACATAAAAGCTGTGAGGAAGGCACAGGTATCCCCTGAAGCTAAGCTAGTCTAAGCAATAATTACTAGGATTTGTATCTTTATAAATTGTTCCCAGGGTACAGTAATGACACATCTTTTCCTGCTTCACACTGCAAAGTCACAACATGATTAAAATCATTTCTTCCCTCATGCCAAGACAACTAGTGCTCCCACATTAGCTTCGTGCTCAGTCGGACCACTCGTCGTTCCACGAGCAGCGTGGCCCCAGTGCCCCTTGTCAGTGGCCCCAGGGTCTCGTCCGTCTGCCTGACAGCCACAGCAGAAATTGTACAGCCATGAGAAAGCAGCTGCTTGGGAATGCCCAGGCTTCTGCCTCCGGAGCCCGGCAGCACACCTCCACATTGCCAAGCGTGTTTCACCCTCAACAGATAAATGTAAAACCAAAGCACAGCAGAGGAACAGTGACCACTTGGGAGCCATCGCCAGGGTTTCACACTCACGCTGCTGGCAGGCTGTGCTCTCCAGTGAGGAAAAGAGCTCAGGAGGATGAAGGAGAGGGTTGGACGTTTACACAAAAGGCAAGTGGCTAGCTGCATTGTCGGAGTTATCACTGATGGGTGACTACCAAGCTCCTCAGAAGAGGAACACTCACTCAGCGGGGTTCACAAATAATTCATCTTACCTTCATGGTTTAAGTGCTCAGGGCGGCTGTGTGGCTGCTGCTCCGCTGAACCTGGGCAGGGATACAGCGACACACGACCTTATCCCATCGCTTTTGTCCTGGAGAAACTGAAGATGATTCCGAACTCCTCCGCAGCCACGGCTCCGTTCGGGAGGGGCGAGGGCAGGTACCGTCCGTGTCACCTTCGGTCCCCCCCGGGCACGTACCCCCTCCCAGCCGCGGGGGAAGCAGAATCCGCCCAGGGTGATGCAGATCCCGCTCTGGAGCACGACCGAGGAACGCACCTCCCGCGGGGACCGGAGCGGGGCGGGGCG